AAAGTTAAAATGAAACAAAGTGAGGACAGGACCATATAAGATTGAAAACTGCCGTCGCTCATAATCTTCTTTTTCCTCATTTATATAAATCTTTCTTTCTAGCTTAGGAAAAAACAAGTAATTGAAAGGATTATAGAGAGAACGGCATCTTTAAACAGAAGATAAATGCTTCTGTACAAGCGATTGTCTTCCTCTAATAGCCAGAAATGTAAAAAAAATTACTTACGGCATTATCCACAAACTCAGGTCGAAAACCTCTGATCAGTTTGATTGCCTCAAAGACATCTATAACTTGTTCTGCCTTGAACCGTTCCAGAATGAGTGAAATAGCGATAAATGTGCCAGAGCGACCAGCACCATCTCTTTAAGACAATTAAAAATATAAAATTATATCTTCTTTTACACTCTCTTATCTCGGTAGGATATCGAAAGATATTTCAGCTGACAATGCCTTCTAAGAATCATTCAAACGTAGCAGCCTCAAAACTTTACTTTTTTATCAAAATAAAGAAATTCTTATAATACTCTCCATTGTTTGATGAGGGTTGCTGCTTCGGAAAAGGTAAAGATATTTGCCTTATTGTCAATCAAAGGAAAGCGGAATTACCCATGTGACTTCAGCACTGAAAGGCATTTTTAAACACCTTAGAAGATTTTAAACACATTAACAAAAGATATTGAAAATTCCAGATAACTTTATTATGCTTCTAATTAAAACCGAAGCGGGATTTCCCACATCATTCAAACATGTCCAACTAATGACTCAGTTCAACTTTGCAGTCATAACTAAAAATCAAGTTTTTATACAACGATAGAAAAAACAAATTCTTCTTTCTTTTCCGCGTGAGCTGGAAGTTTTAAAAATTACTTGAAATGAAAGGCGGGGAAAAGGTTGAAATCAGTTATTTTGAAAAAATTTGATTTTACACCTGCTATATCTATTACCTGCAGATGATTACAACTGGTCTGTCATCAGACTGATTTTGTTTATGTGTTTCAACTTTGTTTAGCAGCGATATAAATTTGTCCAAGTCTTTTGGAACGCCATGATCAGTCCAACCCTCAAACTGGAGCATTGTCAGATTTCTCCATTTCTCTGCTGACTGTTAAATTCAATTCATACCAATAATAAAAAGCATTTATGCACAATTCTTCGTTAAAAATTTCAGGTAATAAATAATTGAAAAAAATAATTGCAAAATATTATATAATCAGATAATCAACAGAAGATAAACAAAAACTAATGGAATTTTTGTCAATTAAACTTGCAAATCTATACAGACAAATATTTATAAAAGAAGAGCATGGTTGTAGTAAAGTACCCCAAATCTTTGCACAATCTCTAGACTGTCAGAGATGTAATGACTCTTGGGGTCCTTATCCATCCAATTCATTCTTTTACAATATCTTTCTACATGCTTTTTTAGCCCATTTCTCCTCCTCCGCTCAGATACAGTCAAATATCATAGCTACGAAATCAACTTACGTCAACATTCCTGACAGTAAACATCCGTTCAATGCTGCCACCGTTGCTCTCCTCTGATTGGTGGTTTACTAAAACACCGCCATATTCCCGAGCTGTGTGCAGTGGAGGCCAAAAGATGGGAAGGTCCTAAACAATAACATGATCGAAAGATGCAAAAAAATAAAATGGACTAGGAAGATGAACGTCAAAACCTTCTGTTAATGGTGAAAAGGGAAAATAAATGAAGATTCTGACCATGTCAATACTATTTATATCACTTTAATAGGTTGGAAAATTTCGTCAAGATTAAAGTAATGTTTTTGGGTACATTTGCCAGCCCAATACATTATCCGAGCTAATAAATACAATATCAATCGAATTTTTGATTATTCCAAGTTCCTAAGCTGGAAAACGTATGCTACCTATGCAAGACTTACATCAAAGTGAATAAGCAAAGGGTAAGCTAGCATTTCTTGAAAAGGAAAAGGATAACATCACAAGGAAATGTGTTGGCTGCCAAGAAACTAATTGGCAAAAAATGCAATATAAAAATACTCATTCAAATCCTCAAACTAACCATGCTTCCATGAATAGTGTTGCTAAGAAGGACCGCCATAGACACTTCTGTCTGCTGAATCATTAGCCAGAAATCGTCAATAGTCTCTGGCAGTGGGTGCTGTGTCGCGATGAAGGCGTTGAGTTTACTATAGCCCTAAAAGAAGAATCAGAATTTGTATAACAAATTAGAAAAATGTCTCTTGTATTTGAGCATGGCTTATTGTAAGAATATCGTCATTAAGAAACAACATGGAACATTGCATGCATGTTTTGTCAGGGAAAGAGGAGAGGGGAGACTCCATTCATTTAGAGTAATGGTGTTTTCCATGTCCATGCTCGTGCTCGGACCTATTTAAGGCTAAACTATCATGCTTTCAGAGAAGCTCAATTATAGAAAGTTTGCGGCGATAGAAGTGAAAGATGTTTATCCTTCAGAATTCAGCTAACCAACTGCAGTTTGTTAAAGTGTCAGCTAACCATATGCTTCCCATTCAACACTAAAAAATATTAAAAGCAGCAATGTTGTGGAGGATGGCATCTCTCATTACCATTCTTTATTCTGTGGCTCAATTGAATACTCTGTTTATGCTTTTTAGCTGGATGGGAAGATTGAACGAAAAATGCTATCTCTGTTACACTCCGAAATCGAAGCTCGACTCTAAGCACCTGACATATATAAATGTCAATCAAAAAACATACATTCTGCCAAATTCTATCATTAAGATATCGGTTCAGGTATATTCATTGAAGTTATGAATTCATCATTTTTGTATGTAATTGTATGTTTTGATTTAACTTTAGTTGGAAGACAAAATATCTTGGTGTTCAAATTGACAATAGTTTCGATTAGAAAGAGCACATTAAATTGATATCTGACAAGGTACTAGGGCAATAGGCCTTTTAAATTGCGCAAAAAAATTTCTTCCTCTAAATTCCTTAACTGAAAAGATTTCTAAACTCTTTACGCTGGCATTATTGTACCCCAGCTCCGCTACTGTTGCTGTATGGGGCTGTTGTGGCATTACTGAAATCTCAAAACTTCAAAAGCTTCAAAACAGAGCTGCTAGGATCGTAACGAATAACAGTTTTGATGTCTCTAGCAAACCCCTTATTAAGAATCTAGGCGGAAAACAGTCAATGGCATGATTAAACATGATAGTAGGACGATTGTGTCGATATCTTAAAAAAAATTCTTGCCTCAAACACTGAAATTCGGGAAATTGAGCAGGCGTGATGTTAACAAACAAGAGAAGACCCTGTAAATTATAGAGGCTTCTTTGTTGGTTGACACTGGGTCTTAAAATATTGAAATGAAAAATGAAATATTGCTTGAATAGATGATTCTCTTTCCCTCTTTTCAACTGGTCTAGAAACGCTTCTTGCAATAATTTTGATGCTGAATTGGACCTGAAATGGATTTGATGCAAAACTGCTTTAAGAAAATGAATCTTACATTTACGTAAGTGGCATTTATGTAGTCAGAACCACTGTTGTTTTCATAAATTGCCTGCTTCAAAACCACACGATGCACATCATCTGAAAAGAGAAGAGAAAACATTAGGTATACCCGATGAGAATCAATTTTTGCATCATAATATTAGCAATAAACGCTTTTGACGAGGAACCAATAAACCCTTTTAAAATGAGGATCAGATAAGGTTGCTAAAAGTATGGCTTAAAACAAAGTGATGATGTTAAATTGTTATAAATCAGTTAAAACTTTATAGACAGTCTATTAAGAGGTCTAAGAGAGGCCGGAGGTACTAAATAACTAAGCTGGTTTACCTTGGCTGATAGAATTAAAAACGAAGTAATAATACAGAAATTTATGAGCAAAAAAGCTTCTGCATATGTAGCTATCGGTTATTGTAGAATATCATATCGATGTTATCGATGATATGAATATCATATGAAGACTCGTCATGATATTTATCATTCTCACCTTTTTCTAATCTTCTTTTTTACCGTTCAAATATATAAACTATGAAAATATGTCAGCAATCTTCTTTCATTCAAAAAGTGCTACAGAAAGACACAATACATATGCAGAAGTTCTTGCAAGCAAACTCAAAATCATTATTGTGTTGGCTTTCTTACACAGCATCAACTTCTAATCAACGTACTTGGTATTATTTCTGTAATTCTGTTTTTTGTTATGTTGTTTCCTTCACCTCCAGCTCTAGCATTTGCATCATTAAAGAATTTAGTTGTCCAGGAAAGTCGCTAAAACAAACAGAAGAATCAAGTGGGAAAGAAAAGAGCTGGGTAGAGTCAACCATAGCAATCAACGGGGGAGATCAAAACTAAGCATAATGTGAAAGCTTTCTTCCGTCCTTTCTCTATAAACCCACTTTCAAATAGAAACACCCCCATTTAAAGAAGAAGATGAAAATAAGCCGCTTTCCATCAAAAGCAAGTTGTCAACGACGGATGCTGATATCACATGAATTTGCAGCATCACGCCAGAAGCAAATGACCCATATAAACTTTTTTATTACACTGTTACAGCAATAGAACTTTTACATTAAAGGAAGTCCCCGATTTACCCTTTGCAAAAAGGAAGCAAAACTACAGTAACAAATAGTCAAATAGCAAAGAAAGCTTTGAAAGTTAGTCCAGAACAATCCATAACACTTCTCAAAGCTCTTTCTGGTGCTCAAGTCAACTGCCAGAAAAAGGCAGAGTTATAACGGGGATCTTATTTACAGAAGGCCTTATTCTGCATAAGACGGGTCCAACATATAGGTTGAATTATTTTTTATTACCTCAAACTCTTCCTCGAATGAAGTTTTGCCAGTTACACCTTTGGGCTGCATTATGTTCATTCGACGTTTCAATTCCTGGGGTTTAATCGCAGTTTCTTTGCAGCCTATGACTTCAAGCAGCGCATTATATGCAAAAATGTATTGTTCCTGAGAAGAAAACAAGAAAATTTCATTAAAGAAAGCATCTAGCGTTAGAGAAATGGTAAATGTCAAAAAAAATTACAGTGATTAATTCCAAGGAACATCTCTAGTTTTTTTGCTGATTTACAGCCTTTCTGCTGTTAGTTCATTGTTTGTTAATGAAGATAATCATATGTAAAATAGCATGAATTCGTATTACTGTATTTGGAAGCAGAAAATACTTAGAAACTGATTTAGAACGCTTTTTTGTTTCGTATAGTATTTTATAGTATTTTGTATAGTATTGAGGCACTTAGACCAACAATAATATTGGTGTTTGTGCTTAGGTGTAGATGCAGGTTGAGCAGTTGATGCTATAAACACAGCTAGAAAAATCCTTGAAATGCAGCTAATACTATATGCAGACAACAATCAAGAAAAATATGCAGACAACAATCAAGATTTTAAAGCTGTCACTCTCTACTAGATCAATATTGACAATTTTGCATTGCTGTGAACATTTTTGTCAATTTTAACATAAAGCAATAAAAGGAACCACAATATAGAATACTTAAATACTTTTCATCCAAAACTCTTCATTTGAGTTCTTAACATTGGAGTATGTCCAAAGTTAAACAGAATTTTTTTTGCAAATTTAATCTGTAACAAACAGTGAGTCATAAATAAGATACCTTTACTTGAACAAGACCAATCCTTTGACTTCGAATAAAATTGAGATAATTGAAAACGTCAACTTTTTTCTGGGTCTGTGCAAGCTCTATCATTGCATCAATTAGAATGAATGTGCCAGTTTGGCCAATTCCAGCGCTATTTTTGAAGTTGAAAAGGATCATTAGCGTAACAATTCTCGACATTTTTTAGCCATTCATAGAGGAGTGATACTTTTACCTTATTAAAAGAGAAAGCTCGAAAATAAAACTGGGTAATTCGTTAGGTACAGCAATCTTTTCAATATTTAAGCTAACGAATCGTGCAATTGCCAGAAAAATCGGACAAATATCATTTTTTAAGAAAAATTATTTTTCACGCAATAATATTTGTCTAAATGGAAGAAAAAAACTGCAGAAAGCTTTCAGATCCAAAAACAAATATCTTCAATTCTTTCTATAGAAAGTTTCTTGCAGGTAACTAATGAGCCTTTTAAGGAAAAATCACAATTAGGCCATCGGCTTTTTTTAAACAGCCTGTCAAATCTATTTTAATTATTGTCAATTGCTTACCATGTTTTGAAATTGTTAATTGTTTAGTGTTTTTAAATAACGCTACAATGCGGAATAAAATTTGGTAGTGTAACACTTCTAAGTACAAAGGCTTCAGTTGTTACCGAACCGATAGTGAAAGGCTGAAGAAAAACCAGCGTAGAAAGTTTAAGTTGCAATGAAACTCATTTGTGGTATATGCATCATAGAGACAAGTAAAATTAGCATTGAAAACTAAAATGGCACCCATGGTATACCTGCAATGTACTACAACTGGATCATTAATGCTGCAGGGGAATCTCCTGCGAAAAGTGGCCCACATGTTTAGCAGATCATACGTGCGATTAGGTACTCCGCATTCAGGCCAGGTCTTCAAATGGTACTGATAAACCTTTTTCACTTCTGTGCAACCTTCCTGCAATAAAACAAAGAATCCAATGTTTAACTCCACTTTACCATTTAAACATTTCGTATTTAAAACTTTGTCTCAATTATCTAATTGCCAACAACATTGTATATTATATATTATCCCTAGCACTTTAATGGAAAATCGTCAAATTTGATCCCTACCCTTTACTGGAAAAACATCAGATTTTATGTCCACCATTCGAATAGAAAAATATAATATGTTATCCGTACCCTTTGAATGGAAAAACATCTTATTGTGTAGCTGTTTTTATCGTCAATTGACTTTAGGCACACTTTTATCTTTCCATAACTTCTAGAATTAGAATTAGGCCAATACTGTGTGCACATAATCTAAAATATAGAAGCAAATGGTTCATAAATCTAGACACACTTTCAACTAAAAAACTACCAGTTTAAGCTCAGCTAGAACGCACTCTGATAAAGCTTAAAAATAATACAAAAAGCATCTGCGTAACTTCTTACAAATTAATTTTCCTTTTTAACGTATATCCCAGTTCTCTGTAAGATGAAATATTCTACTGTATATGTCAACCCAAATATTTTTCTTTCTATTCGCAATCAGTTATAAATATCGTTATTAAATGCTGGATAACAGTCAAAATTTTTAAGTGATTTCTAAAATATGATTTACTTTCCCCCTCTCGAAAAGTTTTGTCAAAATGATTATGGCTGGCACATGCTTGTCCCATATCATTCTCCAGAAGTCGTAAATCAAAGCTTCAGATGGACCTAAAACGAACGGGTCCCATGTTAGTTGCACCTTTTGCAGTAGAATTGATCAAAACTTTTATGTTGATTATGAAATTTAATCAAGGTGGAAAATGTAAATTTTATGTTCCGTTCAGTTTGTTTTTAAAATTTTACTCTATGCACAAAATTCACTGATATGTGCAAATCTATATTTTGAATTAGTAAGAAAAGTACAAGGAAGTTTAAGGAAATGATTATTGCAAAAAAATTAATGAAGTTGACCCACATAGAAAAACATAACAAGATTGCATGTTTACATGGATTTACTTTAAAAATGGAAAATCATTCCGGCATGGTACCGACATGGTGTAAACAGGGTCCTAATTGATATGAAGTTATAAAGGTCATATTAGTAGCTTGAAAAGAAAACATTTTAGCTTGATTTATCCATAATAGTAAAAACTCTCTTTAGCTGTTTTAGAACTTTGCTATCTTTAAATAACCCTTGCTTGAAAAAGTTTCCTTAACTAACCTTGAGCAGCAATGTATTTGTGATTTCCCGAGTAATCCTGATTGAAAAATATTTCATCAAAATTTGTCACCACAATTTTCAAGCACTTAAGTGGGCAAGAAAGTGAATAAAACATTGTTCAAAAAGGTTAGGATTGTCCCTCATCAACTTGTGAATAATATAACACGCGCCTGTAAATAGATACAGTCATGAAATACCTTAGCTGGCTGAGGTATTCTTGCCCATTTCAAAATAATATTGAGATAACTCTGTTGATATTTCTGAAGCACCACGGTCAGGTGGCAACTAAGCTTTGAGAGGTTTATATACTTATTAAACCTCTTAAAGCTTTTTGAAGGTATGACTATGGAAGAAATGAAACGATTGATTGAAATGAAAAGTTAGGGAAGGCAATAGATTTCGATTTAGTACTCAATTGCCAAAGAGTTAGCACTAGCTCAAGCAAAAAAGAATTCTGGTGATAGTGAAGATCACTTACAGAAATATGGCTTGCATTAAAATAGTCGGAATTTTGATCTTCAGGTAGAGTATTCAGGTGTACTCTTGAATGGTCATCTACAAATAAAGAAAAGCTCATCACGTGCATGGTTGACTCAAGAAATATATTCCAATTTAATACTGCGTAGGTGAGTTAATTAAATTTAAGAACATATAGGCTTCAGTCGTGAAAGAAAGGCTGTTGTTTGGTGATAATGATCTACTACTAGTAACTTCTACCAAGAAGTCTTGTATTCTGATAATCTACTCAGCTATATGCTTCGCCTTACTCAAAACAAGATCGAGTAATACCAGAACTGTGCAAAAGAGCGCAAAACATGAAGCAGGAAACAATAAGTCTAAAGCTGGCTTGATTGTCACAAGAAAATAAATTAAATGATTAGTAAGAAAAAGTAGTTTTAAGTTTAAAGATTAGATTAGTTATTTATAAATAGGGTTGTCATCTTAGTAGAAAGCTCATACATGGGAATATATCGGCATGCACATTCTTCTGTTGGTTGGCTGGATCTGTAGCAATATCCCAAGGAAACTGCTGTTTCTTGTCAAGATTCTGTAAATAAATTCAAAGCATAATGAAACTGTGATTAAATACAACATAGATAATTTTTTTGACTTTGCAAAATTTGAGAATGAATTTAATAAAAGCAAAATTTTTACAGCTGATTTGAAGCTTTTTCTATGACTATATCGAAAGCTTTTTGTTCCTTAGAGACTAAAACGTCAGAGAAAGGCTCCAAAGAGCAAGGGGGTAAATATATACCTAGTTGTGCATCGAAATTGACCAATCGGTAAAACGCGAGCATAGGTAATAAAGTATAAACATTAACGTCATCTTTGCAGAATTTTACTCTTTCAATGCATTAAATTTGAATGCTAATTATTGTTTAATTAAAACCAGGACTTTGAAAAGAAATTTAAACGCTGGGTTTATTGATCACCTCATACTCCATGATAATCCCTTGATAGTTACGCTTTTGTGACTCTGTTGCACGTCGAACAAAGTCCTGAACAGAAACTTGAGGATATTCTTGATCGATTACAACTTTACGAGGAAATTTTCTCAATTTTACAGCTTCATCTATAAAAGCAAAAATGTTACACTTGTAAAAATTCAACAATATTAAACAAAAGTCGATATTTCAATATTATGAATATACCAGAAGTATACCTCTGATGGGCTCTTTATGAGAGTTGCGCTTACGTTCTTACCAAATAATGTCATTGATTTCACTCATTTGAATGGGTTCTAAAAAAGTGTTAACAGAGTAATATATTCTGTAATTGTGAGGCGCAAACCTTTCTGAATACAAGTTAAGCTACTTAAAACAGACGCTTAAGCCGAAACCTTTCCGGGAAAAGTGAACCTCTAGCGACTTTCAATACAACCAGAATCTATTTTATACAGTCCTGGCTGCGCAAGGAGAAAATAAAGATCTGTTTCATTTGCTCCGCAGTTTTTGCTAAGATATTCATATTAAGATCTTATGGCTAATTCTCATTTCACTTTTGCCTTTTTAAAACTGTATGCAATTTGAAAATTGCGTTGAAAAAATTTTAGTAAACTGAAGCTTTTTGTCTGACACTCTTTAGGTAAACGTCCGAGTTTAAAACGTCAGAACATAGACCGCTCATATTTCTAAGTCTGTTGCTAGACACAGCCCAACCATTGAGCGCGCTTTTCTACAAGATGAAATTCAGAAAACTAAAACTAATATTCTGAATCTAAAACGTTTGTATACACGCCAATGGTCTAAAACGCGTCCGTTTCTCACATTTTTTGACAATTTTCGTCTTTGCCGCTACATTTCTGAAATTGATCAGTGGACACTTAAACAGACTACAGAAAAACATGATAGGAATATTGGTATGCTAGTTAGGAAACGTTTTGGCGGCTTGATGAGCGATTCAAAAAAACATATTTTTAATTTGTCGGATTATTCTCTCTCTGAAACCGAAACAAATGTCTTAGGTAACGGTCTTGAGTTTTGTATCCCACCATAACGAATAAACAGAGAGGAACTTTTTGCTGAATTCGAGATTTTACACGCGCAACTTGCCAGGCACGATATTTCTGATGCTTTGGAATTTAACAAATTACGAGCTCGACTAAGCGATTTGGCATACGCTTACAGCGGTTCTCCCGTTGACCACTCAGATTTTCTTTTGCATAGAGAACATTTTCGATTACAAGTTTACGATAGGATAAGACCCACAGGTCCACAACGTCCAGAATTGTTTGGCCTCCCTAAAATACATAAGCTAAATGTTCCATCTTGTCTATGATTGGCTCAACACAACATTAATTGGCTAAGTGGCTTTCTGAAGCTTTGGACCTTGTTCTTCAAAAATATTCCAACCGTTGTATCAAGGAATCTTTTACGTTCGCTGAGTTCATGGAAAACTTGAACATCAAAAACGAAATATCTTCCATGTGTTCTTTTGACATTAGCAGTCTTTCCACAAATGTTCCTTTGAGTGAGACCATCAAAATATGTGCCGACCCTTTGTACCGGAGCGAGCTTAATAGCCCACCATTCCAAGAGGAAATATTCATAGAACTGATGGAAACTGCAACACGTTCAGTTGAATTCAGCTTTAACAATGAAATGTACCAACAGAAGGATGATGTCGCTATGGGTAGCCCTCTGGGACCTGGGCTGGGCTGGCCAATGTCTTTGTTGGCTTTTATGAAGAACGTTTGTTCAACTACGACCAAAAGCCAGGTGTCTATTTTCGATATGTGGATGACACATTTACCTTTTTTCAAAACAGAGGCTGAGTGTGATATTTTTATCAAACGCCTTAATGGCTTCACCTAGCCCTACAGTTTACATTTGAAAAGGAAGAAAATAACTCCTTGCCGTTTCTAGATGTTTTGGTTGAAAAGTCTGGCACTGGATTTCTTACCTGTGTTGTTGGGAACACGTTACCTGTGGAGACGAGATTGCGGCTCCATTGTTTAGAACACAAGCGGAAGTGGTTTATCCGAACTGATTAGCTACGAGGAGTAGGTACGCACGCGCATTAAACCTACTAGAACAATGCTGGATCTTCGTTGTTTATTTTTTCAAACTTCCCTCCTTTGCCTGTCTGACGTAAAATGCAAAGAACACATGCGCACCTACACCTTGCGGACTTACCCTAACTTATCTCCCTAACAATGTGTATATCGTAAACCTGCCTTTTTGGGGATATAATACACTCAATGAAATTCGTTTTGCCCAAAACAAAGGAAAAAAATCCTTATCAAAACGCTAACTCATTGGGCACTGATGATTTATTCCAAGTCTAAACTCGACTCGGAACTTGAACAACTAAATAAGATTTTTTTTAGAACGGCTTATGATGTCATTTCAGTTTACATTAAGGCGAAAAAGGCTAATTTCTCGGCTGACGTAAAATTTGGTCCCCAAAAGTGCCAGGTATATCTGAAACTACCTTGGATCGACAACAGTTCCTTGCGTTTTAAAAAAACAGATAAAACAGCCCATAACAAATTGTTTCTTTACCGTGAATTCACGCATTGTTTATGGTAAAAAAGGCCCTTTCCTCCATTCAAAAGGAGTGTGTACTTGCGTCACAAAAGAGTTCCGTTGTATATCAATTTACGTGCCAATGTGATTCTGGCTACGTAGGACGCACTACCCAAAGATTGGAGGATAGAATAAAACAGCATGTTCCGTCTAGTAATAGAAACAGAACCCACCCCCAAAGGGAACAGCAATCTCAGTCATACAGATCTAAAAGTACAACTAAAACCTGCGATTCTGCTTTCGGGCAGCATTTACTGGAAAACCGAGATGGTGCAAAAAACTATAATGGCGAAATGTTTCTTATTATTGGTAAAGCCCGATCGTCATTCCATCTAGCAATTTTAGAATCTATCTACATTAGCACGAAAAACCGCTATTTTGTAGACAAAAGGAGTTCGTTTTTACCTTAGAACTCCATTGGTAACATTCTCTTCAGGCAAGTGGCACTGATTGGGCAGCCTCAACAGTCATGTGCTGGCGTTTCTGATTGGCCTATTATCCACAACTGGCTATATATATTTCCTAGCGTAGAGTTTTCGATCTATGTTCTGACATTTTAAACTCTGAAGAGTGTCAGATGAAAGCTTTAGTTTACTAAATGTTTGCTTTTTTCAAAGCCATTTTCAAGTTTTGTACCACCAAAAGATTGTTTGTATGCAATTTGTTAAGATTTGGGTGGTTATAAATTACCATCTCTGTAAAATATGGTTAAAAAAAAGTGCAATATAATGATTGAAAAGTCAAATGGTCAAAGAAAAAGCGCAACAGCTGCAAAGCAACCGGCATAATTCCAGGATTTTTTGAAAGATGAAAGCTTCAGTTAGCTTTATCTCTAAGGCACTTTTGAAAAAGATCACGATTTTTATGTTATGGCACATTTCGGTTTACTTTCCTGTTCAACTCAGTTTAGTTTCGGTTTAGTTTGATTTAAACAAAATATAACTTAAATTGTTGACCCTATTTTTTCAAATCTAAGCTATTTGATTTTAACAATTTAACGTTCTCAGCGAAAAGGATAGCATTATAACATGGCAGGTCCACAAAATGAAGATTTTAAAATGGCCGGCACCGAAGATTCTGGTTCAGGGCAGAAAGTACTTGAAGAAATAATTTGATATTACCTGAACTTCCTCTACTAACTATGCTGGGCTCCTCCATAGCAGCAGAGGCTCTTACGTTGTTCAAACTCTCATACTCATGATCATACGATGGATTCTCGATCTGGCCATGTAAATTTGAAAGAGGCACACCGTCCTTTGCCAAACCACCTTCTTGAATTGTTGGCCTTTTGGATCGTCGCTTTCTGTTGTAGAAATTACAGTGTTTTCATTACATTGTTTTATCGGTTTGTATGCAAATAAGAGATTAAATTTGATGAACCTCAGGCTTGTTGATTGTCAAAAGCAGGAACTTAAAAGATTTGATTTGCTAATTTTTAACATACCATTAAAATGTGCCGAACAATTAATAATAATAAAAATCGATGTAGATATAATCAATCAAAATAAAACAAATAAATTGACAATTTTTTCTGATGTTCTTTGTATTAATTACAAGAAGTTCCAATTTTGTTGTCCCAAAAATTAAGAAATGTTTGTGTCGAACGTAACCTTATCTGGCCTGTGATAAGAATTATTATAAGGGGTTTCGTTATGAATAACTAGAGGTTCTATTTTGAAAGATATATTTTATGAAAGATGGATTCGGATCATTAAATATTTCAATATTTTCAAAGAAAGCAAACTAATTCTGGCAACATGCATCGTACGTCGTTGTGACATCAGGAGGAGATCGTTCTACAAACTGACATTACCACTTTTAAGAAATATAAGGGCACGTTTTTGTATCTTGTCCATCCTATACGCGCATATTTCTGATTAGTCAAAAAGGCATCCGTTTTAAACAAATTTCTTAAATAATTTGCTTTTGTCTCAGCAAATTGTTCTAGGCAGGCTCATACATTGCTCCAGAAATTATTTCTTATGTAAAAGAAAGTAGATGTTGTCAGAAACAGAGGAATCCATAGGAAAAGAATGCTGAAACACGAATGCTGACTATATTTCAAAAGTTAAAAAATTTACTTGCTTTATTTGCTTTTAACATAGAATATATCTGACAGGTTACATTTTGAGTTTTGATAAAGAAAGAAGCATACCTTATGTAACAAACTGCAACAGCTAAGGCGAGCACAACGATTGCTGGAACTATTATCCCGACAATAATTTCGATCGATCTGGTTTCGCCTGGTTCTGATTTCAATGGTTCTTCTACAAAGAAACTCCAGTCATAATTGGAAAACTCATTCCACACTTTAATAAACAAACAGACATAATGTTAATATAACAATATTTTCGGCCGTTGTCATCGGAGATAGCAGTTAAGGCAAAGTTATCATAGCACGGAACATTGAAGAGAAGGCACGAACATCAAACTGGGTTAAAAGCCGTGCTTACACTGTGAAGCTCTCACGAGTAAAATGGCTAAACAATGTATGGCTCTACAGTAAGAAACTTGAAAGATGTTACTAGCATAAAATGATATGATA